ATGAACTTGGCCTAGCAATAAACATTACCATGGGTTCCTTGGTGCTGATTAATTGATGCTGAGCATCACTGTGATAAGAGCCAGTATGTGTTTTTAGGTTAAAATGCTGGAGTGAAGAGACCCAAGTTCTACTCCAAGTTCTAGTCCTCCTTCAGCTCATTGAATGTCTCTGGGCCAATCACTGTCTCTGATTTGCCTCTTAGAATAGTGATAGTGCACACACACACAAACACAAACATGGAGAGAGAGAAAGAGAGAGAGAAGGAGGGGAGAAAGAGAGGCAGGGCAGGCAGAGGGAGAGAGGGAGAGAAAGAAAGAAAAGAAAAAAATACCTATTACCCTGAAAGAATATTGAAGAATTTGGACTGCATGTGCACATTATGGTACCTTGTCTTTTTTTTTTTTTCAATTATTCTTATTTCGTTAGATAAAAGAAATGACTGTTTTTCAAATAAAAAAGATTTCAGAAAGCTTCACATGGATGGAAGCAGGGCTTTTAAGTCTGCCTTTATTCAAAGGTGGTCAAGGATTTTGGGATTTGTGTGTTTGTATCTGAATGAGGAACAGAGTGAATCATAGAGAGAGACATCTTCTTGTCTCTTGTATCATCTTCTTTCCACAGCATTTCTGGCTTTCAAACAATCGGAATAGATTGCCTTCTATGAGTTTTTTAACAGAACACATACCATTTTTCACTGCCTATCAATTTCATCAATTCAAAAGCAACAAGAAAGGAAGAGGGGGGAATTCCCCTAGGGGGAATGTAAGAATTGATTACATATGTGAGGAAGTATAGTAATAAACTGGCTATTCCTCAAATTTATCAATCAGAATTTCCTATTAAAACTGAAACAGCAGACTGAAATTCCAGACAAGCAGAGAAAATGGGAGGAATAAAAACCCCTGTTTCTTTCCCTCAGATAATATGGTTTATTGAACAGAAAACTTAATATAGTTACTATCATAATATCAACTCATGTCTCAAAAAACAAGATTTTCATATGATTCCTTAACAGTTCATATTCCTGAGAGTACGTACTCTCATTTCCCATGTCCATTTTAATTTGCTCCATTTTGCAAGCTTTTAGAAGAGTATAAAAAGTTTAGAAGTTGGGCTTTTAAAAATGGTAATATTGATTTTTAAAAATTATAATATTGAATCTTATTGAAAAAAGCTATGAATTATCAAAGCTAATATATCGCTCCGTACAGGTTTTTTTCTTGGGCTAAAAGCAAAGCATATACATAGTTGTCTATACATTTATTTTCAGCCTCCTGTAGATGTTTATAAAGGGAAGCATGATAAAATCCCTTCATGTACCCATAAATTACCCATTATTTTTAACTAGTTATCAAATTAAACAGCAATTCTTTTGCAGCATCATTAATATTCTTCATAACACAATGTACTGTCAGAGCCAGAGAAAGGATGCAGCTGTCAGCCTTCAAGATTTTTCTCCCTTTGCTTTGCTTCTTTCGGCTGTCATAAGTAACGGGAGGAGGAGGGGGGAATGATTATGGGAAGTGAGCTGGAGCTGTTACAAACCAGAACTGTATAAGCTGGGGGGGGGGTACATTCTTGCTTAGGTTTCTATCCCATGCTATGAGCAGCTGCAACCCTTTATCAAACTGTGTCAAGGTCAAGGGACAGAGGCCTCATCACCACCTGGAGATGCCCACATGATGAAATACACAACTTTTAATTGGATGAGCCAATTGAACTATTGGGGGTGGGAACGTTGCCATTACTTCGTATATGTGATTTACGTGCCCATTTTCTCAGATTCAGAATTCTTTTGTTGCTACCACTTGATTTCCAGTAAAAGATACCTTTTCTCTGATTAAAAGAGTCTAAGTATTTCTTTCTTGGATTTTGAATGGAGCACCAGCTGACAGCAGCTTCCCAAACTATACTAAATGACATGGAGTCCCAATGTCCCACATAAATTTTTGCTTAACTAATTAACTTTTGTCTTAATGAATCTCATTCCTTATTCTACAACTAGAGTGATCAAATATTCCCTAACTGTCATTTCAGTGTTACAGAGTTTACTTCTATGTTGCAAGTAATCAGAAAATATTTTGCATCAAGATTGCGGGCTAAAATGTTCATAAGTTAGTTTTATGTTGGGTTATTTTTCAGATTGCTTCATAACAATTTAAGGATCGGTTTGAACAATGATATAAGAGACTCAACTTCAATGTTTACTTTGTTATTCAAGGACTGGTGGTCTCATTAAAAGTTCCATATTAATTTCTGAAATTATATTTGATGAGATGGAAGCAAGGAGGGATATGAATATCACAAATCAAACTAGTGATCAAGAACATCAATATGGTTTAGACAGAAATGTTGAGGTGGATTAACTTATTTTGTTGATACTTGGGTTAAAATTGACAAGCTTACAATGGAAGACAACATTTGGTCAGCAGGAATTTGTGGAAACATTAACATACCACTATGCTTTTAATAGGTCAGTACAAAACTAATACAATATTGACTTTGAGTTTAGCTTCCATTCATTTTTTTCACAAAAATACTAAGTAATCTACTTTGTAAATAGATGCACTATATGAAATGAGTTATAATGCGTGTGCTATGGTCTGTTAGTGGACAAGTAACCCATTCCTAGGTCTTAATTATTCCCAAAACTCTGAGTTTGTTAATCTCACATATAACCTTTACAGCTAGACTTCCAATGAGGTGAGGCAGGCTAGTACTTTCATTTTCTTCTCTCTATGCACATTGCATGGGCATTTTATCCCAAAAGGCAACTGAATGTAAAATCAAGATTGACAGAATTATTTCTGGAAGAAAGAAAGAAAATCTAGAGATTGCCCAGATGAACTCTGGCCCCCAGGTAGCAGAAACTGTTGTTTTGGTAGGCATTTATTATCAGCTGGGAGTTGTGAATTTCATAATACCCCAGGCTATAAATGCAGCCTCCATGAACTCAAGGCTAACATATTTAAATTATTTTGGAATTAAATATTTTTCAGCTGCTTCTTTAAGATTGAAGAACTTTACAAGCCTACAAATTGCTGAGTGAGTCTCACTTTACTCCATTTAAAATAAAAGAACCTAGATCATTTCAGTTGTGTAAGATCTTTATTAATTCATTCATTTATTTTGTAACTTTTGCAATATATTGCAAAGGAGTAACTTTAGATGTAAGAATTTATCTTCTTCACAAAAATTCATTTCAATGTAAAATAAAACTTTGAAGATTGATTACTAAAGTACATGATGGCTACTTTAAAGGAAACTTTTGTTCTGTATGTAAAGTGTTTGAGTTTCTTAAAAAGTCTTCACTGGAAGTAAACATTTTTATTGAAGATGATGAGACTCCTTTGACGATAATCAAAATGGGTTTTAAGGTGGACTTGAAAATATAACTTGCAAGAAAGAAATGGAAGTTCTGGATCTCCAAGTGGAATTGGATAATAATTAAAAAAGACATAAATAATGTACCCCAAAGTAAATTATCATTTAAATTGAAATATAAGAGATTTATTAGGGTTTTCTCATAGAAAGTATAAATGGACTTGACTAAAAATAATAAGAACTTCAAGAGAAGAGAAAAGAGGAGTTAGAGTTTATCTATGGTGAGTCTGTCAAACTCACATCCCTTGGTTGGATGCATCACATGCTGGCCACGCCCACACCCAGTTTGCGAAAGAGGAAAAAGTCATGATAAGTCATATGACGCCACCGTGATACTGCGACTTTGACCCCTGATCCTTTGGGATCTAAGGACAATTGGGAGGAAGGAAAAAAAAAAACCCAGGGAACTGGTTTATTTCCCTGTGGTTAAATCAGGGGTCCTCAAACTTGACAGCTTTAAGATTTGTGGACTTCAACTCCCAGAATTCCTCCTCCAATCATGTTAGTTCAGGAATTCTGGGAGTTGAAGCCCACAAATCTTAAACTTGCCAAATTTGAAGACCCTTGGGTTAAATAATGAGTTGCTACCTTTCGTGATATTTAATGGTTATCTAGATTAGACGATTTCTTGTTTGGAAATGTTCAGTGGTGGAATAGATTAGTTTGTAATTTGGCTATACGAATCAGGAGTTATTATTTCTACTAATATTTAATAGTTTACATTTTCTTTTCTTTTTTGGTAATATTTAATTGTTAAGAGAGGGATGAGGGGATTTACACAAAATAGAAAGAGAGATTAGGTTGTTTGGTATTTTTGTTAAATTTTTACTGGATCTTTGAGGATCAATAAGGAGAGCTGAAGATATAGAGATGAGTTTATAGAAAATGAGGTGGGGTATGAAATGGAAGATTTATCTGGTTGTAATTTAAGAGACGGCAGTAAATTGTTACTGTTGAATATGCCTGATAAGGATGAAGGAGGCAGATGCTTTTTATTATCTTTGATGGGGGGAATTTTTCTTTTCTTTTGTTTACACTTTGTGTGTGTGTGTATGTATGTGTGTGTGTGTGTGTATTCTTTTCTTAGGTTTCATTGATACTTTTATTTGTTTAATATAATTATTAATAACATTACAGATGAAATAATAAAACATGCATAGAAGCACAAATCATTTTAAAAAGCCCATTAGAGAACCTCTATCTAATTTTCCCTATAAATATAAGGCTATGACAGCTTTGGCTGGAAAAAGGGAATTGTAGCTCAAAACACTTTGATGGTACTATGTTGAGAAAAATGGCTGTTTTCCAGACGTGGTATTCAGCAGGTTCTAGAGAACTGCTAGTGGAAATTTTTAGTAGTTCAGAGAATTGGCAAATATCACTTCTGACTGAAGATTTTACAGTATCCTTCCCCTGCCACACCCACCAAGCCACACACACAGAACCGGTAGTAAAAAAAAAAAATGAATCCCATCACTGCTGTTTTCCAAAAACAACAAAAATGAATTATCCACCACGTATCATGGTGGACAGGATATCATTTACATATTCTTTCTACTGAAGCCAATTCTGCCCAGCAAAGGAATAGCAATATACAAATAAACTGTGTAAAGCACCTCTTCACATCATCAGGCATAAGAACAAAAAGCAGTGGGAAATATTACTAGCATAAAAAAAAAAAGAGGGCAATGCTATAGCTGCCTATTCACTTTTCATGGCCCAAGTGAATGTTATGTGCAGAAGCATCTGCCCAAAACAATTACTTTCCAATTAGGAAAGTATTCAGTAATATTGCAATATGCCTATAAAGCACAAGCAGAATTTTGCTCTACTATCTTCTTAAACTAATACAAGGAATTTTACTTCATTACAATTGCAGAACTGCTTTACATCCAGAAACGTAGATTACTTTTAATTAAAAATCGGTGCAAATGTTTTATTTTGCTGTTAGACTATTTTTCTATTGTCAGCATAAATGAATTCCCCCCCGCCCGATACTAAGCATTTTACATTCTTAAAACTCTCATAATTCAAAGAAGTTGAATGATTAAAGATTCTATCCCCCACACACGCACACACATCAAGAAATAGAAACACCAATTAAAATAAACAAATCAATTTTGGGGGGAAACTAGAGCTAATATATTCTTTCTCCCCACCCGCATTTCTTTTTCTCTATACAGATTCATCTTTTCATCTCTCTCTCTCTCTCTCTCTCTCTCTCTTTCTCTCTCTCTCTCTCTCTCTCTCTCTGAGAGAGGGAGGAACCTAATACATCATCCTTTATTTTAGGATTTAGACACTATACAGTAGTATATTCATCATGAGATGAATGATCCATCATACCAGCTACTTCTGAATAAACTACTGTATAGGATTGTAAATTGCAATTTGTGTTCATCCTACCTGGACGCTATTCCAAACCCAGCCTCTGAAATCAGGATTATATTGCACTGACCACTGCCAATATTTTACCCTTAATACCAGCTAACAGGATATCTGTGCCAGACCTCCGGGTATAATAAATAACTGAGCAGCTGAAATGGAACCTAGAAAGAACCTCAAATAGCCCATCAATGTGCTATTTTATAGATAACATTAACAGGGATATGATTAGTCATTTCCTGTGAATGATTAAAGAACCAAATTCTTTCCAAGTCCTTGAAAGATCTGTATTGGTTGAGCCTTGTGACATCTCTTTCAAAATTGTTCTCAAACAGAACAAGTGTCCAGAGGACTGAAGGTTACCGATATATCACAAATCACCTTATTTCATCCTAGGAGGGGAAAAAATAATTATAGCTCCAAAAAATGATATGAGTCACATTTTAGATATAATATCCAATTATCCATTTCATTTTCATTTATACATGCTGGGTGAGATCATTTATCATGTTTCATGATAACGTCCAGGAAGCACACACAGCCAATTTGGATAGGTAGCAAATTACTCAATGTATTAACATAAGCTTATAAGATCACATCAACAAGTACTGTGCATAAATGATATTAATTATATTTACAATGAGCAGAAATGTTTGAGATGCAGAAATAATGGTCTCCTAATTGAACATATCCTGGTTAGCTTTCTTAAGTATAGTAATTTAGATCCAGTAATCAAGAATGACTGTGCTGCTGGAACACTAGCCAGGTGTCACTGCACGGCTCTGAATCTGGAGATGAATCTTTTATCATCAAGTCTTCCTTCTCACTACCAAGTCATCCATCATGTTTCTGAGACAGCTTGGAATGATAGTGCTGGACCTTCACATTACTGCTCCTTGAACTCCATCTCATCAATCTTTTGCATCATGCCTGATTTGCAGCAAAGTATCATCTCCCTGCTGCAAAACCAGGTGTAAACCCAATCATGCCTCTAACCTAGAGTGCCACTCTAACAGTAATTGATTTTTTTTAAAGCTACACTCAGAACTTGGAAGTCCCATCTTTGGGAATTCATAAAGGGAAACGATAAAAAATGCAATTGCTTCGGAGAACTCACATCTATTTATTTATTTGCTTCTCTTCTTTAAATATAAATGTTACTGGTGTTTGTTTTGGATTAGTCCCAGATATGCCTACACGTGGAAAATTGTAAATATTCTGTGTGCATAGACACACAGTATTATTTTAGGGACTCATCAAATTAAGCAGAATACCTTTAGACATTTAAATTAATTCATTTAATAAGTATTCACCCTGAGCACCAAAAGTGGTACTTATTAACCCCTAGTTCATCATTCAGGTAAAGTCTGTTTCAAAATCTCAACTGACAATAAACCATTCAAGATTAAGTATAGTAATTCAGTTTCATCTGAATACAACTATAAAAATTTAATAAATCAAAATGATCAAAATGCCCCAGTGGCAGATTGGAATCCTGTTTCCAATTCAAATTCTCTTTAATACATGGCTTCACTGATATCTTGCATTTTCTCATATCTAGGCTGAATTCCAAATGGGTTCTGCTTTCTGCTGTTACCAAGCATTGGGCAACCAATCTAGTTATCCAATCTCTTCTCAGCAATCCAGCACAACCCTTGAGAAACATCAGACTTGGTAGATTTTTCTCTTCTACTCATCAGTGAATGGCAGACAAGAATCAAATATTATGAAAACCTCCCTTCTGAACTCATTAGAACAGAATATTTTGATTCTATATTTCTGCCCAAGGACTTCGTTTTATGCAATATTAACAAAAGAAAAGTCTTTGAACGGCTAATTAAGAACTGCATCCTATTTTGAGATAAATCCAGGATTTCTGTTTTAAAACATCTAATAAACATAGCATATTTTCCTGTCCAATACACACTACCTGAGCAGAGTATTAATAGAGCCAGTGTGCCATTTTATCTAAAAAAAGATCCTTTTCATGAAAACCTTCAATAAGGACATAACTATTTTAGATTTTAAAATAACATCTGGGATGATGAATTCAAAAATATGTCTATCATCAGGTCACTGTGGATGACAAAATACTTTCTAATTAAATGTGCAGAGATATCAGGATCCAAACTCTTTTAACTCTAGAAAAGGCAAGAAACTGAGCCTGAGATAATGAATTCTTGATTTGTGAGAATTATTAAAGTAATCTCTCCATTTGGGAATTATTTTTGTGACCAAAACAGTAAGACAAAACTGAATTGAAATGGCTTTATTATTAATATCTGTCCCAGATGTTTCTGCCATTGCTGTGAATAATTACTAGTGTATCTGCTACTATCACAGAGCTTTTGAAAGAAGGTCATCCATCTTTTGATTAATTTAGAAATGTGTTTACTATGATACATTGTGAATATTAAAATAGAGAAAGTAGACCCAGACTCATAGATCTGAATTAGATATGCATAATTGTTTCTAGAGTCTATCTTCTGATACTTGACTAAACAATGACAGTGACAGATAAAGAACAGGAACACTTAAAGGAAAACATCTCCTTAAGTAAATAAATAAAACACAAATTCAATTTTATATTTTTGCCTTTTTACAAACTTCGCTAGTGTGAATAATTTAATTACTCATATGGTAATTCTTCATGAATGCTAGAATTGATAAAAATAACACTGCGTCTATTCATCACCATTTCCATGTTTTTCCAAAATATCAACATCTGTTACTAAAAGCTGTAGGGTTAATTTTAAAATACATACTGATTTTATTTAAAAATTAGTCTTATAAAAATAGGGCTTAAAATGTAATACATAATAGGAAAATAGGAAAAAATATGTAAATAAGTAAAAGAAATATTAGATTTTTTTCAATCATATATTTTATCACAAGAAAAAAATATTTTGAGGAAAAGACGGTGTCTGACACTGATTCATCAATGCTCAAGAATGTAATCCATAATTTGTACTACTGTTTTACTGACATGGCACATTTTTAGGAAACATATCAAAGAGACCCAGCATGCAGTAGTGGTTAATGGCTGGGACTACAAGAGGGAGGTACAGGTTCTAGGCCATCATCAACCATGGGACTTATTGAATGACTTTGGACCAGTAATTCTATTTTTATTTTATTTTTTTATTTTTTTTATTTGTCAGTTGCTTACATGATAATAAGTATAAGTAAAAACATACTTATGAATACATGGATACATATAAGAAAAATAAAAAAATATAAAAGAAACAATAGGACAAGGATGGTAGGCACGTTGGTGCGCTTATGCACGCCCTCTATAGACCTCTTAGGAAAGGGGTGAGGTCAATAGTAGACAGTCTAAGGTTAAAGTTTTTGGGGTTTGGGAAAGAAACCACAGAGTCAGGTAGAGTATTCCAGACATTGACCACTCTGTTGCTGAAGTCGTATTTCCTGCAATCAAGGTTGGTGCGATTAACCTTGAGCCCACTATAACTACATAGCCAAAAAGGCATTAAGAGTTGTTAACCTAATCTTACATAGCTTTTTCTCTGGTAATATTACACTACTAACTAGAGCATACAAAACATTTGCTAGACCAATACTCGAATACAGCTCATCAGTCTGGAACCCACATTATGTATCTGATATTAACACAGTTGAGAAAGTCCAGAAATATTTCACAAGAAGAGTTCTCCACTCTTCTACTCGTTGCAGAATACCTTATGCCACCAGATTTGAAATTCTAGACCTAGAAAACCTAGAACTACGCTGCCTTCAGTCCAATCTAAGTATAGTATATAAAATCATACATTGCAATGTCCTACCTGTCAATGAATACTTCAGCTTCAACCATAACAATACTAGGGCAAACAATAGATACAAACTCAAGGTTAATCACACCAAACTTGATTGCAGGAAATATGACTTCAGCAACAGAGTGGTCAATGTCTGGAATACTCTACCTGACTCTGTGGTTTCTTCCCCAAACCCCAAAAAGTTTAACCTTAGACTGTCTACTATTGACCTCACCCCTTTCCCAAGAGGTCTGTAGGGGGCGTGCATAAGCGCACTAATGTGCCTACCATCCTTGTCCTATTGTTTCTTTTATATTTTTTTATTTTTCTTATATGTATCCATGTATTCATAGCTATGTTTTTACTTATACCTATTATCTTGTAAGCAATTGACAAATAAAATAAATAAAAAATAAATTAAATAAATCAATAAATAAATTTGATAGGACGCTCCCAATTTTGACCATTTGTTGTCTGTTTGACAGGAATGCTTCTATCCAGTTATGCAGGTGTCCAGAGACTTATCCTACTTCAACAATAGCCTATCATTAACACTGTAAAGGCAAAATTA